AATAATCCCATAGATATCTCGAAGTATTGACCAAACACTGTATTAAATCTTCATATAATGTTCAGTTTTTAACATTTTGAGGGTTTGGTTTTTATTTCCTCAAGAGGGTATTTATAAAAAGCAAACAGAACATACATTATACTTAGGTAAGAATTATTACAGTACAAATTAAAACCAAATGCAAACTTTGCACCAAACTGTTGGCAAGCTTGCTTATATTCCACTGAGAATTCATAAACCAGGAACATGAAATTGCATGTGAATGTTATTGTATTCATTTTTTTAATCCACAAGGACTTGTCTGATGAATAATGGTTAACCAGAGTCCTAATTTACAGACTGTACTAAGATTATTAAATCTTTTAAACAATGTAATCAATAACATTGCTATTCATAGAAACCATGACCTTGACCTTTGTCCTTTAGACCTGAAAAGCAATCCTATGTAAGCACTTTGGTAGGGAAGCACTGTATGAAGTTTGAAGTTGCTTGGCGAAAGGGAACTGATGTTATTGCAAAAAAATCTAATCTTTTATTTATAGTAACTGAGACATTGACCTTTGAACTTCAGAACTGAAAAGTAAATCAAAGCAAGTAATGTTGGTAAAGAAGCACTGTATGAAGTTTGAGCTTGATCAGCCAAAGTGGACTCAAGGCGAAAAACATAGTGCTTTGTATCATTTCTATAGAAAGAAAGAAGACAGTTGTGATAAGAAAAGATGGAGGGAAGGACAGTGAAAGAAGGTGCCTATAGAATAATAAGTTTATATAATTATACTATGATAAAATTTCTCCATACATACATTAAATATTGAATTTTTTGAAAATTTAATGCATCTTGTCAAAAAATCCCCACACATCCCAGACTAGGCAAGGCTTGCTATATAGCTTTTATCTTTTAATCATGTAATTTCTAATAATCTTTCACATTTTTACTATTTTACTTTCAAGTTCACGAGATCATTTTCACCTTTGGCAACAGCTGTATATTTTTGAGTGGTATATATATCTTTAACTAGGTTCTTTACGGAAGAAATAATGTATTTTGCAGACATCTGGCCTGTACATATAAAGTTTCAGGATTAGAATTATGAAGTTATCCACATTGTTTTGTTTATCATATAAACCAAAGATAAATGATTCTTTATTGAAAGAAAACTGAATCAATAACACATCTCAAATACTCAACATTTGACTAAAAAAATGTACTTCTTCACAATCCCAAATTGCATGAACAATGGTTTCATTTTCAGTTTTACTGTGAAAACTAAATGGACTTTCAGCCAGACCAATTTTATAAATTTTATAAAATTTCATGAGTGAGTTGTCAAGATGTATTGATTAATACTAAATTGAAGCCATTGTATCTTTGTCTTTCTAATAATTAAGAATGGTAATAAATGTATATATATTTGTCTCCAGTTATCTTTGTCAAATTCAAATATTTCCTCTCATTTTTTCTTCCAATAGATATGGAATCGTTTTGATAAAGTAGATCATAGAGATCTTATATTTCCTTTTTATTCTTAATAAATAATTCTAAATTAATTGGGACATATGGGTAACTTATATTCTCATTTGAGATATCTTCATGCAAAAGTATCTTTTTATGCAATTAATGAATTAATTGAATTTTCCCTTGTATACCCCCCTGCAATAAAACCTGTTTCCCTATTCATTAATTTGTCTAAAAACTTGAGTTTACTTGCTACTGACCCTGATGCAATTAGTGAAAAGAACGTAGTCTCCCAATTTTTGAACAACTGCCTTGGTTTGTCTCCCTTAGGTATACATGTAATGACCTTTGAGTTATTGATGATTTACCATTAATAAATCCATAATTTATCAATATAATTACCACAAGATTTCTTAACTAAACCCAAAAACATTTGAAAAATTCAGCGATGAAACCATCTGACCCAGGACTTATATGACTTTTCGTAATAATTTCTGTGAAGCTTCTTCAATAGATATCATCCCTTTTGATAGTAAAGATTATGTCTAATCTAATTACTGAATATCATCATTATTGCTATCTAGGAAAGTGTCAAGATTTATATCTTCAATATTACTGTCACTTCAATACAATTTTACACAAAACTCCCTTACCTTTACTTCACTTAAAATATCCTCTTGTTTTGAAATAATTTCCTCGTTTTCATTCTCTACCATCGGAATAATTTTTGTAAAGAGAATTAGTTTTCCAGATTAAAAAAATAATTTGTTGGTTTCTTCCCCTCTTCCAACCACTTCGCTTTAGAACGAATGATACTACCGTTCATTTTATGTTGCCTTGTTTTTTTTCGAATTCTTTTTTCTTTTCAACTTCTTCAAAATTTATATTTTGTAAGGCTTCTAAAGATTCTACTGATTGTGTAAGAGTACTTCTAAATTTTGCTGTTTTTTCTTGTATGCTGAATACAATATTGTTTTCCATTTCCAATTAAGAGTGTTTCTAAAAAGAGTTGATCGTCAATTTGGGCTTTGTGTATAACTTATATTATCAGATAATAAAAATAAGTCATGACAAGCTTGTTTAATAAGTTTGTTCTTCTCCTTCTACTACCTGGGTGTTGCTGTCTGTAAATATTCACTAAACTGACCGTCATACCAATACTACTTCAATGCTGAATCTTGGATGAAATATTGTTTAAACCAGGAATATCACATTGGCAGGTGTTGTACGTTATCAAAACTACATTTATATAACGATGTTTTCTGTAGAAGATTGGTATCAGTTATTCATACATGTACTTGTCTTTTCATACAAAATAAAGTATGCTGTTGTTTTCCATTTTGTTTCTGGAGTATCTTAGTTATTATCTAATATCTTATGAAGTTTACTTTTTATTCTATCATTTATTTTTACTTTTTTTGTGATTGCTTATGTATTACATACTATTTAATGATTTGTTTGATACGTTTGACCCATTACTAACACCACTAGAGTGTATTATTCTATGAACTAGAACTGGATTTCAGGCTCTGTTATCATTCTCAAAGTTACCTACAGTATATCCCGACTGTTACAAATCATATCATAATTGAACATGATATGCTTAAAATATGTTCTTCCTTTATGCTATCAAAAATACTTATTTCTTTATATATATTTTAATATATTTTTCCATTGCAGTGACTTCTTCACCTCTCTTAGTCATATATTGCTTTTCTTTATATAATTTGTAACGATGTCACTATTGGTTGGAAATATTGAAGATTTTCTAACTGAGGTGGCAGATTTATTTTTAGATTGGCAATGATAAAAATGCTTGCGATACGAATTCAGAATTATTATGTCATGATCAAATGTCAATGTACAATTATGTATTTGTTATTGTCTAACAAAGTGCTTTTAGAAATAAAATATAATCACCTATCACTTGTTGTTCTTCCAATCACTCCAAATCAATTGTTCCTTATACATCTTGGATCATACTGTAACCTTGATAATTTGCCTTGGCCTTGAAATGGATGTAATGACCATGGATGAAAGCTTCCTGTGAACTTTTCTAATTACATGTACTTATGAAAAGAAATGAAAGTTCTCATTCAAAATAAGTAACATCCAACAGGAAAATATTAACAAGACTTAAAAAAGCCTCCAGAAAAAGGGCAAGGTGAATAAGACTGTGTTTGGGATGGCCACAAGACTATTTGGAATTTTAAAGTGTTCTTAATCATGGACAACACCAACCAAATAAGATTACAATAACTATTCAAGCTGTCCTGCCAAAATGAAAGTCTGAGTAAAGAAACGGGTAGCAACACTTTTAAGCTTCAAATACAAAAGGAAAAGGTTTCAAAATAAGATCATGACGATGAACCTTAAACCCTGCATTTTAAGTTTGTTGTCCTGTAAGTTGTTGTATGCTGTCACAAATCTCGAAACCTTTGAATAACAAAGCAACTAAAACCTTATTGGTTCTAGAATCAGGGATGCTACTGTCAATCTTCAATAAAATACATTTATCCTATTACTTCCAAATATAACAAGATCAACAAGCAACAAAAGATTGAAATATATACATACAAAACAAGTGGACAGAACTACCAGACAACAGGTGATTTTAAAAGTCTACTATGTCTTGAAAAAATAAACAAGCAATAAACATCAATAAGATTTTGAAGATTTTATTTATCTACTTGGTTAAATAGATAACCATACAATACCATGATGCATTGTACACACCTGGGTAAATGGTTATCATGAAGCACTTATCACATCACTGGTATGAACCAAGCTGATGTCCATAAAATCACATGTACTATATTCTTATTGCAATCAGACATCAAATAATGATTTATATTGATTGATTTACCATTCATAACACCTCATTTCAAAACTATCTCAAAAGGTTCATTTATAGCTTTCCACAACAAATTTTGTCCACCTCAACAGTAACAAGCTGTTTAGATAAGTTTTCACAAACCAAACTTTAATCACATCTCATGATCTGCAAAATGAAAACCAGTACATATATATATGTGTACTACATTCAAGTAAATCAAGTAAATTCCTTTCAATATCATAATTTGTTACATGATGTACAAAAACTTTTAAATATTAAAGATAAAATGTTTCACAGTTCTTTTTAATTCATAATTCCAGAAATTTAAAGGTTCATTTAGTTCAAACTAATTCACATTCCAATCCATACTTATTTTGAGTTTGTACAATAATTGATTTTACAACCATTCCCTGAGTTCAAGAAGATGTTAAATGTGACCTTTGATATGTAAACCCTGACTAGTGAACTTAGTATTATATTACTATGGGGCGAAAATGAATCTAATCTGTTGAGAGATTCTGAAGATATGACACTGACTCAGAACAGGATGGGGAACACTGTATTATGTTCCCCTCCGAATTGGTGCAAGCATAAAAAGATTTAAAGCTACTTATTGTCCATCTTTCATCACAATGGTATCACCTGCTGTGATATTTACGGACATTAGCAAAAACTGTCACCTCCACAGCCTCCAGACAGCACTTCCTCTAATGGGCAAAAGCAGTGCCTCTGTCAGCACTGCAGATATATCTGCTTCACCTTCCTAAGTGCATGACAGCCACCTCACTGGATTAAGACACAACTTTCTTCATTACACTTACAGCATGAAGGCAAGTGTCTCATTTTCTGCTTGAGTTCATCCGCATTCCATCTTTCACTGTAAAGAACAGCCATCTCAAATGATGTTGGTTTATGATAAAAATTTCTCCATTACACATACATACTGTGATTGTCTCACTTGCCTCTTGAAATCACATCCTCAACATAAGGGTTATTCTTCTCCTTTACACAGGCCTTTAGCTTGTTGAGTTCTGTGATAGCATCTTCAGGGGATAAACTGGATAGTGGCAATTTTTTCACTTTTGATAGAAAATCTTTGATGATCTCCTCACCTTCCTAAAAATGTCAAATGAAGCATTTTACACATCTTATTACTGTTACAAACAAAGTATGTAAACATGTTGTGGTTACAATTTATATTTGAAATCATTTTCATCAAGATAGTTACAGCAATGAGGAAACTATGTCAAGAACAAGTCAAATTGCTTTCACTTTTTCTAACATAGTTACAGCAATGAGGAAACTATGTCAAGAACAAGTCAAATTGCTTTCACTTTTTCTAACATTTTACAAGGAACACTGACTTTGGATGATGACATTTCAACAGCCCTTTAACACATAAGATTTCTATGTCAAATAAATAGCAGAAAAAATGTTCAGCATAAGTATATACATTCCAAGAAAACTGAAAATAAAGATATGAAGAGTAAAATAATTAAAGGTTTAAAGCATTTAATTGATGCAGTAGATCTCCCTTGATTTCTTCTACGTTCACAATACAGTTGGCAGTGAATGTGACCCATTATTACACACAGCTCTGTCATTTATCCCTTGATTTCTACTATGTTCACAATACAGTTGGCAGTGAATGCGGCCCATTATTACATACAGCTCTGTCATTTCCTCAGACGTCTTAAGTATTTAAAATATTTTATCTTCAAATGGAATCTTCATATTAGGCTATATTATTTTTGTATGCTCAGCTATTAATAACCTGGAAGTATCAGATACAGAAAAAACATCTTGGTGACTGATGATAATTTTAACTTAAGACACTTCAGTTCATAAAATATAATACTGTAAATTAATTAAATGCCCTACAGCTTATGTTTTTGTGGACTTCGTGGGCACTAAATAAATAAAAAAATAACCATAAGAATTTCATATAAACCTTGAGCACTAGTCAATTTCAGTTAAAAGTGTACTATATTATCCATTAAATCAAGTGACAATGAACAAAGATTTATTTATCGTTGTGGTTTGAATATATCTGCAGTATTAAAGGTGGAAGTTCCATCAAAACAAAGTGGTCTACAAATGCTCATGTGCAGAGAATTTCCTATAAACCTCACATTCTTTATATGAACCTACCTCTTTTACAAGTTTGCGTTTCTTGACAGCTGGTTCTGAATCACCTTCCAAGTCTGTACCTGACAGACAGACATTCTGAAAATCTTCGAGCTCACTTGCTTTGTTCTTGGCAAACTGAAAAATTAGTTCAAATATGTTTGAAGTTGATAGTAATAACCAAATATTCATATGTAAATGATCAAATCTTGACCACATACCTGAATCATCAAACTAAACTCGGTGTAGAAATATTAAAAGTTTCACCAGAACAATGAATTAAGTAGGTATTTATTAAAAAAAAATCTCTATTTTCTGGGGCCCTGCTCTAATAAACATCGAAGTTTCCCAAATACAGTCTTAATCAATCTAGATATAAATAACTAGGATGCAGAAGATAAACATAAATGATCAGTGTTAATTTATCAGTAGCATTTTTACATGCTGTTTGACTACACATTATCATATGTATACATTTTTTTATCAAAGTTATTGTAAATACCAACAAATACACAGTTTTCCTTCACATTTCTGAAAGCATTACATATATGTATTACAAACTGTATAACAGTTATAGTTTTAGTTGATCAATACCAGTCAGTCAAACACCCTTTTTAGGTACTGACAGAGGCAGCTTTCTAAAAAGGAACTCAAATATTTAGCTACTAATTAGACAGCAAGTATCTCCTCTCCATAACATTCTGAATACCTAAATATTGTTTTGACAGAGATAACCTTACATTAACAAGAGGTCTAGTGGCCTTGACGTTAACCAGAGATAACCTTACATTAACAAGAGGTCTAGTGGCCTTGACGTTAACCTGAGATAAGCAATATAGAATATAAAGGTTAAAGGATAGTTATCAAGGGTCATGAAACAGAAATTGTGACACTAAATATAGTAAGCCACTGTCAATACATGCATGCCATCAAAACCGCCATCCTATACTAATAATTCTTACAAAGTTTCCAGGAGAAATAACCAATGTTTTTCTATGAAAATTAAATAAAAAGTTTAAAATAGATTTCCTTCCCAGGAAGAAATGAGTCCCATTTTGCTTCCATTCATACAGAGCATTTGATTCTACCATATCTGGGTGTTGAGAAGGAGATTTTTGAAATTGACTAATTTTGGCCCTGCCCATCAGCCTCTCAGGGTCAGTCAGGATCAATATGGACATACCATCAACTCACCTCTATAACATTCTTAGGGAAATGAGCCAACTCTGCCACATGGATACCAAAGCTCTGATCACACACACCTTGAAAAACAAATTAACAAAGTAATCTTACCTTTTCACTATTGACCATAGAAGCATGACAAATCTCATAGTGAAAACTGATTTCTTACATATGTATAAAACAGTCCCATTATGATATCAGTTTGATTCTGTGCTAAGATATGAGCATAATGCGATGTCACATAAAATTTGACCATGACCTCTAATACTGTAACCGTGACCTACGTTTGGTGGCTTGCAATTTAATTTTGATCAAACTCAAGTTGATAATATCATATCAAAACATTTTATAATTTAGGAAAATTTTAATTTTCTGGAAAGCAGATTTTTGCAGCATGTCACATTGACCTATCACAGCACAATAAACACCTGCTGGTAATGTAGTCTATAAGTCCATGGGCCTAAATTCTATGTGTCACCTTCAGCCATTTAAGATGTTTAACTTCAGCAAAAACAATGACTGAAAACCATATTTTGTGCTACCTTTTGAAAACGTCTCATTTAATGATTGTGTTTAATGACAGTAAACTATTAGGGGAAAAAACTGTAATGTCAGCATGACAGGATGCATTTTTCTCCCAATAGCATTCCTATACTGAAGGTAGTGCGAAGGATGTTTGATGTTTCAAACTCATACCATATCATACTCAAATGGTGCAGAGGAGACATGTACAGAGCAAGACATTACTTTGAGGATGTCTAGGGAGGCCAAAACTGAAACTGTTATTTGCTTGGTTGATGAATGGGCTTGTAAATTTAAATGTATGAATATACAAATTCAACAAAGACTATAATACATCTCCCATACCTGGCTTGACCCTGTACAGCAAAGTGAGAGTGTCGTTGGTTGTCAGGGCAGTCACATGAAGGTTGTTGACAGTAGGAACAACATCTGACAGTGCTGTTAACTCATGAAAATGAGTAGCGAACAGACAAAAGGCCTTAATTTTGGTTGCAATGTGTCTAAAAAAAAAAACCAGATGAACGGATTGATTGTATTCTCTTCCACAATTCATTGTAACATAATACTGTTTTATGCTTGTTATTTTTATGTCTTTGATAAAATCATAATTCCTGAATCAAGTTCATATAACTGGGTCTCCTTCATGTGCTATAGTTCTATGATTATGTTAGCAGGATTAAGTCACCATTGTGATTCTGGTCAATGAAATATTACTTTTTAAAAATTGAGAAGAAAATAAACTTTCGAGATCTTTTTGCAATTTAAAAATGTCAGAGTAAATTAAAATCTGTAAGATTTTGGGTAGCTAAAGCATACTGATTTCAGTCCAAAAGTTGGTGACTTGATTGAAAGGCTGAATCAAGGGGAGATCACTTACTCAGAAATAGCCCATGCCAGACCAAACCCATCATAGGTGGACGTTCCTCTTCCTAACTCATCTATGATAATCAAGGAATCTTCTGTTGCAGACTAAAAGATTGAAAAATTGCTGCTTTTATGTTATTTAGTTTGTAATGTGAAGTAAACCAACAACTGAAACCATGTGAAAAATTCAAATTATTTAGTGGGTTAGGCACTGGTTAATTCTACTATAAAGTCAATATTGATAGGAATAAAATGTCCAATTGATCTATGCTTCAGAGTCAATACAAAAAATAAAACTAAGAATAATAGAGAAACTAAACTAAATTAAAAAAACACACAAATCTCCATTCTGCCTGTTTATCATTGGTTTGAACCATTTAAATTCTATCTATTAAATAATAATAATAAATAAATCCATTTACGATTTCTTTTTTTTTTTTTTTTTTTTGGAAAATATAACATACTGAATAACAATTTGATTACCCTGAGGATTGAGGCAGTCTCCAACATCTCTGCCATGAATGTAGAAACTCCTTTTAGCTGACTGTCACCTGCTCCTACACGTGCAAGTATGCTGTCAACAATAGTGATCTCTCCCTCAGCACAAGGAATATAGCAGCCCATCTGTGCCAGCAGTACTACTACTCCTACCTGCATGGGTTAATAAGTAACATTGATATCAAAATACATATACCTTAGTGGGTGTGTGCAAATTAACATAAAAATAAACAAGGACAGCCAGGTTTAACTTCATGATTATTTAAATAGTGATTAAACGTGACTTTTGACCTTTTAACTGCAAAAGAAGACCACAAAACTTAATCCAGGAATAAAATATATCATATTTTTATGGCTTAAATTTAAAGAAAATCTGTTCAGGGCTAAAGATGAGATATCTTGCACACAATCACACAAATAACCCCTTCAACTTTGAATGCAGAGGTTATAAATATTGAAAAGGCTGTAGTGGGTGTGATTGAGAAAGCGTGATTTTTAATTTCGCATACTAATCTAAAAATTATGAATAGATGTCTTTGCTCTCCCACTTGGTCAGTATGCAATTTTTAAGCAAGATGCAAACTACACTAAAATTATATCTATATCTGTTGTAAAGCTTAAATATTGATGCATTGTAAAACATGAAAATTTTGTTGGTACTTAAATTCTAAATATTAAGTAAGATGACATTTATTTTCATGCCAAAAACATAACTTTTCCCAAGAGGAAAGAGAAAAATCTGATGTTTGGTATTTCACAGCGCTTGCATCAGTTTGACTATAAACCAAATCTGAAGAAAATAGAACAAGCCATAATGACGTAATAATTTCATAACATCTCTTGTTCCAAAAATAAAGAAAAAAAATAATTAAAATTAAAATTCATGGAATCTATTTAGTGGGTTAATATTCCAAGTTTTATTGAAATGGCACTTGTACTTCATGAGAAACTGATTTTTATGCAAAACTTCTAAGTCAAACTACTCAGCATCCTTAATTTTGCAGAAACATACAATCTGGAAGATGTTTTTCAATGATGGATAATTAAGATATCAACTATTTGATATAGCTATATACCAAGTCTGGTTACACACTGTATTAAATTTGTTATTCCCGAGAACTTCTGAAATGAGCATTAGCTACACAGAGGGATGTAAAACACTTACAGAGCGGATGTAGGTTGATTTTCCTCCCATATTTGGACCAGTTATGATATGGAACATCTGTTTGTCTGTAAGCAAAGTATAGTTATGATATGGAACATCTGTTTGTCTGTAAGCAAAGCATAGTTATGATATGGAACATCTGTTTGTCTGTAAGCAAAATATAGTTATGATATGGAACATCTGTTTGTCTGTAAGCAAAGCATAGTTATGATATGGAACATCTGTTTGTCTTTAAGCAAAGCATAGTTATGATATGGAACATCTGTTTGTCTGTAAGCAAAGTATAGTTATGATATGGAACATCTGTTTGTCTGTAAGCAAAGTATAGTTATGATATGGAACATCTGTGTGTCTGTAAGCAAAGTATAGTTATGATATGGAACATCTGTTTGTCTGTAAGCAAAGCATAGTTATGATATGGAACATCTGTTTGTCTGTAAGCAAAGTATAGTTATGATATGGAACATCTGTTTGTCTGTAAGCAAAGTATATCACCATTTTCAACAATTGTAACAATACGTTTTTTGTTTAGAGCAATGTTATATGGCATTTAAAACCATGGCATTTTTACTGCAAGACTATATATCACAAAATGTCATTTAAACATATTTATCTATTGTCACTAATCAGCCTTAATTGCCCCGATACCCTTATGGAAGCTAGATCCTCCATTGATAAAAAACAAAATCCTTTTACCCAAGGATGGTCTGATCAATCTGATTCTAGGATCTTACAAGCATTAAGGTGAAGAGAATAATATCAGAAACATACCTTTTGCAAAACTAGCATCATTAGGTATAAATGCAACATCATCCTGCATTTCCAAACAAGGGTGTCTAGCCTCTGTCAGCTGAATTACACCACTTCCTTTAATGATGAAAAATAATGTATGAAAAATATAGGTAAAACTATTTGGCTTCATAATTAACTGGGATTGTGAGTTTCCAAATTCAAAAAGAAAAAAAAAAAAAAAAATTGCAAACTTTTAAAAACTGATGTGACAACAGGTTTTAATTTGAAGAATGTCAGTAATGAATTCATAACAGCCTAATCCATAAATAGGAGAATTACCTTTGGCTAATAGATTAGGTCGTACATAAGCAACAGGTGCAGACACAGCAACATGGGCAAAACTCACAAGTACATCTAACTGGGCGATGATGTCATTCAGCAGTAACATTGGTTCTACATATCCCGCTGAAAACAAATAAAACAACATATAATAAAAATATCTTTATTGGTTGCCTGCTAGTTTTACCTTTTCCTTTCTTTGCTTTTGTAGTGTAAATATTTCTTGTATAAGAAGGTTAATAAATAAGATGGTAACATCATACCATAAGGAAAATTGTAAAAACTTGAAATTAATCTTTCATGTGCTTTCTGATATCAAAATTTAAGATAGCCATCTATAAGCCATATGAATTTTTCTAATCTATCTTGAAATTCATTACTAGGAACAAAAGAACAACTTCATACAAAATTTGAGGAAGAACTTTTTTTCTGTTTCTCAAGAAATAGAAATAACCATTTTCTATAGTCAAAATCCAATTGTATTATAATACATCGGACACTTTCTTTTTCTGATCAGTCTAAAATGGAGCAGTCACCAATGGGGACCAAGGCAAACTTACATTACGAAATTTCAGAAGGGCCAATTTAGTGTTTTACCCAAGAAATAGCAATAACACGTTTAAAATATGAACTCAAAGCTGGCTGCCTTTCAGCTATTTTGATTTCTAATCAGTCTCAAAATGGAGTAGTCACAACTAGGGACCAAACAAGGTGAAACATTTACACAAAGTTTTTAGAAAGATATATCTAACATGTCTTCTAAAAATGCCAAGATTGAATATGATGGCAACTTCTGAGCTTACCAACAACTTATCAACATTCTGATGATAAAATTCTGAAGAATATACACACAGTATGAGGGAACAAATGGATCAAACTCATATTGATATCACAGTTAAAAGAATGAAAACAGATGTGATGCTATGTCTGTTGAACAAATTCTAATTTCAGTCATAGATATTTGATCGCCAGGATCTCACTAGTATTTTCATAAAGCATCCTCTAATTGCCAAATTAGCCAATATGGACCTGGTCAGCAGATGATTGTTTGATGAGAATATTATATAACATTTTTATTTACAAATTTCAAAAGCAATACATTAAATTTGTTCAAAGTCAACTGAAAGAAACAAAGTCTATGGGTTACCATCTCTTGTGTAGAAGTAATACACTGTAAACTCTACCATGGATGGACATATCCTGTGGTCAAATCAGTGTTTACTTGAATAGACCCGGACAGACTTTTGTTAGCTTCTATTTATTTGTATAGATAACACTTTTTCATAATTTTTACCAGACCATGTAACGTCTAACCTACTAACATCAAATTAAAGCATTAAACCTGATACCAAAAAAACAAGTTATTTTTTGGAAACAGAAGTCCATGAGACTCACAAAGATTGATATTAGTATAGATTGTACAATCGTAAAACAGTATTCCACCTGCTATAGTAATGATCTCCAACACCACACTCTTTTGTTGCTCATTATAGTCTTCCTTTGCCTTCAGGTATTCCTCATTCATGCGGCGAACAGCATTGTTATGGAAACGAACACCATCCTTCTTTGTGTCAATTGTCATGTAGTTTTTGTTGTTCCGCAGCGCCTTTTCTTCCTGTGTGGGAAAAGAATTTTGATTTCAGGTTTCTCAATTTATAATATATAACTTTAATATACATCTTATACACAAACAATGTGTAATCAATACAGGATTTTATAAACCAGTATGTTCAGTTCACTAGGTTTCCAAGTCTTAATTTTGATAAAACCTCATCAATTCAATAATACATAAATAATCCCTTCTCTAGTCAGTCATCATTAAAAACACTTTAATGCTTGATTTTCTTCCTTTTTTTTGAAAGGATTAAGATACTGATAGTATACTGACAAGAAAAACAGCCAAATGCTGAAAATTTGTTTCTCACAGTTTTACCTTGCGTGTGACTCTGAAAAAGTATCCCAGCTGGCTGTTGCTCTCAAGCTTGAGGACTTTATTTGGTTCGACTCCCAAATCTCTTGCCACCTAAAACATAAATCATCAATAATCCTTCTGATAAGATTGAATCTTCTCTTCTTTTTGTCCACATATCAAAATATAAGGATTTTTCACCAATTCAAAGCAGATAAAATTTCTTATCTTCCATATCAATATTTGTCTAAATACTTCTGTTGAAATTTCTAGCAAAGAATGTGACAAAACAAGTTACAGGTTGAACGTTTCAAAGGTTAACATGAATACAAAACTGAAGAAAAGCTGGTTACCTAATTTAAAAGTAACAATTAACATTTATAATCCATCTGTATAAAATAGATCATATCAGTCAATGTGCATGTCATTTACAATTAAAGGCAGATTTAGAAGTGGCATGCAAGGAGCATTGCCCTTTTCAATCTTGTCTTTTCTTCAGATAATGTGAAAATATTGTGGGAATACATCATCATATCATGTGAATGATCTAATTTTTAAATCTGTTTGCATTTATTAACAGTCTGTTCTTCTTTCATTGCTGATACTAAACAACATGTTTAAAATGCAGATTAATTAAAAAAAAAATTTAAAACACAGACTGATTTAAGCTGTATTAAAAGTTATACATATCTTACATAAATATTAACATACACTGCGAAAGTTGCCTCATGATACTTAATATATCATGTATCCCTAGTCAGTTTTGTTTTATATATGGACTATTCATTTGTTATGTGAATATTTTTAATATTGTAACATCATTAAATTGAAAATTGGCTCTAACCTTATTCATCTGGCCTTTGATACCATCTTCAAGCTCATCAATTTTTTCTCTGAGGGCTGAAACCAAATGTTATCAATCACAAGTTTTAGTAAGTATCCATTTATTATTAGCTGTTCCTCCAGATTAGGTGATCAGTTACTTTCCTCACTAAATTCTTACAACTGATGGATAAACACATTTTAACAACATTTAAAATTTAAATTTGGTTTCTACACCATGCTGAACTCCATTTAGCAAATCTTTGAAAGTTTACTAGTACCGAAGAATCTACTTTCATAATAGAGAAACAGAAATCTTGGTCTGTGATTTTTTTTTTCAGGTAATCATTTTGTTATGTTCTACACACTAGCAACTACTGAACCTATCTGTTTTGAGAAAAATTCTATATCTACCAAACCAATTCTGTTACCTTTGGTTTTGGGGAGAGGGATTTTACAAAGGAAAGATGAATTTTGAATCTCATTTTCCTTTTCTTTTCAGAAATTTTCAAGAGCAAAAGGTAATATGTGTACTTTTGTCCGTCTCATTTCCAGTAGATTACTGCCCAATGTTATTCCTATTTTCAAATGAATTCAGATATAGTTATAAATGTTTAATCTAAGAATAAGATTGATCTCCAAACTGATAGCTAGATATTTAGGCATATTAAATAAGGGTGCTTAATTCTGCTGATTGTTTTCAATCTCCTGAATTTTTAAATGACTCAGACATAATGTGCACATATACCAATTCCAGGTTACATTTAAATGGTACAAACTTCTAGGACATTTAAAAAAAACTTCAGGATTTAATAGCACCACTTTGATACTTTAAAAATGCTTCATACCAAAAAGGACACAATAATTTTTCCATAAGTTAATACTGGCCAATATTCCACTCAATCAGATATACAGATTACCATATATGTGTATATTACAATAGTTCTCTCCTACAAAGTACCTGCAAGGCCTTCATCAAAATCAGCTTTGATAACAAAATCATGGTTTTCTACTTGGGCAAGGTCCATGGTTGTTTCAATCATTTCCTGGAACTTGGCAAAGTCCATCAATAATTCCTGAAGCAAAACATAAATGGATCTAAAAATCTCAAAAAAAATGAACTTTGTACGGGATCGCTGTTGTATTTTTGCCAAATGTCAAATATTGTTCCATTACTTTTTGAAATAAGAAGCAATGTACACTAAAAATATTTTGAGAAAATACAAGTCCAAAGTTGGGGATGCACACATTACATAGCTAGAGGATTTTCAATTTTTTTTCATGGAAAAATCAAAGATTCTATGGGGCCATCATCATTGTGTGTCAGAATTATCTGGTACTCAAAACTGACACAAAAAGGATTTGACAATTTATTTATAAACAAAATTAATAAATAAGATAATTAATGTATATATTAATGCAAACTGTCTGAGTGAGTATCATGCAAAACCTGGACGAAGTGTTTGAAATCCTGACTGAAACTAGACAGACGGAAAACTAACAATTGGCAAAGACAGGGGCCTGTTTGGGTTATTGAAAATATGTTTTGAATCAATTATATGTACAACTGTTAAGAAATTGACAGGTTTCATTTTAATTTCCTTCATGTCGGATATCGCAATGAAGCAGAAGCCATGAGCACCTGTCTGTTTTCAAGTGTATAAGTGGAAGTTAGTGTTGACATATCAGTATGCGGTGTGGATTTTTTGTGTGTTCATGGCTGATTTCCATCCCTGTTATATCTATCAGTTTTTTCTGTATTTCAAAGCTGACCTTTGCTTTCAGCAAGCTTATCAGTTCTATGTTGTATGCCAATGAATCTTCTCTGTAAGTTCTATACACATTCTGTACATAGCTAAGGTTCAATGCTTGTTTAACTCCAGACACTTGCCTTTGCTGGGTTAGTGAATAGCTCCATAAGTAATGACTGGTGCTCTCCTTCATGTTTCTCCAATACCTCCAGAAGATATGGCATCTTGTCTAAGGCCTGGTATACCCTGTAGCAATCCTGAAACAAATTAGGCAGTCTAGAAACTTTCCCATTATTCACCTATCTTTATGACAAAACTTGAAAAACTTTTGAAAAAAAAAAAAAATGAAGGAAGTAGTTTATGTACTTTCAACACAGAAAATGTCACCACAGATCTTTACAAATTACAGATATACAATACTGTCCTATCAAGGTTTCTGATTAATAAAGAGAAGAAAACACTTTCATTCCATTTGATATAAAACATTTTGAGACCATTTAAATGAAAAGGAAACAAAATGTTTTTTGCAATTAGCATTATAAAACACAACACAGGTAGGAGAGCAAGTTTGTTTCATTGCTTAATGCAAAAAGAGATCAGGATTGTTTTAATCAGAACTGTTCATGGAAATTTCAAAAATGCATCTGAAATCAGTATGTAGTGCCTATATCTTAAAAACTTAAAATCAAGATTTACAGTGTTTTATATTGGGTTTGTGTCTTTTTTCAAAATGGATTCCAAAGACTTCATTACAAAACATACACTAAATCATTAGCATCACACTGATTTAACCTTTTTTCTATACCCTACAGATAAATACTTTGGCTGATTTCAAATTTTTGGGAATGGCCACATTTGAAGGTCATGTGTACACTCTTTTAATTGCATAACCATGATATATGTCTAAGGAAATCCACCCACATTGTATCAGGACAGCATAACAGATGTTACCAGTTTTAGTTGTGTATGTATCGCTTCCAACTTCATAAAGCAAATAAAGCAGTCAGATTGACAATGCTGCCAAAACTGAAATGCATGAAGGTTTGAGATGTTTGATGTTTTGTTTGACTTACCTGTAATGTAGCTCTCTTTCTCTGAAACTTTTTAGCTAACCTCTGGAAATCTGGAATTTTTCTTAATTGTTCATCCTGTAAAGTCTGTCTTAGTTCTGTATCTTCTACAAACACTTGTACCACATTTAGACGCTCCTCTAGAATTGTTTAATGATAATGTAAAAAATCATTCAGTTATTGTATATCAAAATATTACATCTTTTAATTTAAGTCATAACATTCTGGACATGACTTCATTATCCAGAGATTATCAACTCAACTCAATTTTTGAGTCAACACAATCCACAATTATTTTGAAATTTTTCAATTTATTTTGTCTACCAGTACCTCATATAAATATATGTAGTAACAACACTTGAAATCTCAATTGTATAACAAATTACAGAAATGGTCTAAGGAGGTGGACAATTTGTTCAATATTTCTGTAACATTTTGGAATTTTAAACTTTGACTGCAACATACTGTAAAGATTTATTCATTTTTTTTCTGTAAGAAAGTTGTAAAATTCTTTTAATGATTCTAATTTCAATATATATATATATATCATTTAAATCTAAATTTCATCCTCAGAAACGGAAAATAGAAACCTTCAAAAAAAACCTTTGCAGTATTTTGCTGCAACATCTAACAATGTTTGCTATTATATCATACCAATTTTATTCAGATCCACAAGGGGTTGTTTGACCCACTGAGACAGTAACCTTTGACCTTGAGCTGTTTTACACTTATTTAGTAATCCAAGTATACTCTGGTTCTTATTTCCACCTTTGAAAGAAAAACACACAACTTAGCATATATTATCAGATAAAACTGTTGGAAATTTCTAAATGGAAACAATGATATCTTAAAGTTAAGATCATGACCTCTTCACTATGTAACTATTAGTCAGGAAAGGAAACAATAAGATGTCAACGTCCTCAAATTCACAACTATTTAACAGCCATTAACCAAAACGTTAAAGACTAAATAAAAACTGGGCCTCACATTCTATTTGAAGACTTTAGTAGCATATGTTTTTCACTCACAGTATGGGCCAAATTTGCAATCCAAAGGCAATCATAGGCAGCATAATATAAAGGAGATATTCCTTAGGAACACAATGATGAAATGAAAGTGTGCAGTTCCTCCAGAGATGCCATTTGGGAACTAATGAATATGGTTATCAGTCTTATTCAAATGTTGTTTATTCACAAACTCATTCCAGGATCTTAGTTGGCATACATTTGTTGTTTCTAATGTACATTTAACATTTTATACTACAACTCTTTTCACACACTGCACAAACCTTCCACAGTGCTGGGCAATAGATTCAAGGCCCTCACAGCTGCAGCATCCAGCTTCATGTACTGACTCAAATCAAACAGGGACAAGCTGAACTGACCAAAGTTTTCTTCATCTGACAGCAACTAATCCAAAGGAACAGATTCAAGTCAATAAATCTGCATAGCTACTAATGTATATATCTCCCTGAACTTCTTATATGCATAATGGGATTTTAATCATGAAATGTTTTTATTTTCATTCAGACATTCCATACTGAGTTTCCAAGATAAAGATATAAGTATTTCACAAAACATGGGAGTAATATTTGTGAGCAATATTTCAGATTTCTCTCTTGTTAACGCTACAAACAGGCAAACAATTATCAGCCTGATGTTTTCAGAAACTGTAGTTTCAACACTATTTTCAAACACCACTGGGTCTTTATTAACTATATCATACTACAAATTACCTCCAAATACTTAATCAAAGCTGAAAGGGACATGATTGCTTGTGTCTTTTCTGTCTCCGCTGAAGTACAACACAAAAAAAAAGATATTATGCAGTGAAACTAACTTCTATGCTGTCACAAATCATTACACACAAATCAACTCGGTATCACAAAATTGGAATTGTTTGGTTTTTGAGGAAAATGCATTATTTACCCAAGTACAGAACGATCCATGAGCCATCACGACAGGAACGCAGAGTGATCTCCCTTCCTCTAATAACCTTTATGGCGTAAACCCCACAGAGGGGCAGCCAGGCAGATAAGGAAGAGGGGAGGATAGGGTGGGACTCCATAAAGTTATGGTAAGTATTACATCATGAAAATTGGTTTTACATTAAAAAACCTCAATTTCATTTCAGTAATAATTACCATAACTTTAGTATGCGAATTCGTCTTACCGTAGTGGTGACTAGAAGCCAGGCAGCCCCTTCAGCACAACCAAAGTAGTAGGGAGGGAGAACAGAGTGCTAAAGTGAAGGAAGGGACCTCTCTGTGAAAGAGCAGGTGTACCCACATGCCGCCGTACGGAAAGACATGGCCCGGGGCTAACGAGGAGGCCCAGCCACTGACTATGCCACCACCAAAGGTCCCAATGATACAGGCCTTCTGAGTGGGAAGCTAGGGATCACAGATAAAAATCTGTTAAGGTATCCCTGCCCTGCCAGAATACTGCAGACATGACCTCCTGAAAGGAGGACTCATTGAGAGAAGGGCCCAGGATGAAGCAAGGGCCCTGACCTCGTGAGACCGCGCTTTCACTCTCGCCCGAGCCAGATCATCAAAATGCTCGTAAGCATACTAAATCACCTGGCAAACCCACCTGGAAACCGACTGGGAGGAGATATCTCGTTGCCCCTGTTTAATGGGCAAAACAGACGGGATCGAGAGCCCCGCCCCCCCCCCCTGGTTTTATCAAGATAAAACCTAAGAGCCCGACAAGGACAAAGCAACCTATCTCGCTCCTCCGAGCTAGTCACAGCCAGGATCCTGATGGGATCGTGCGAGAACCCCGGAACCTGATTCTTCGCTAAAAACAACTCTATTCATAGCAAAGCCTCTGATTAGGGCAGAAAGAGAGGAGGACTAACCGATCTCCTTCCTGCCATAACAAGCAAGAACTCTGGCAATAGCTGTACGATAGCCAGCAATAGTGCCAGGTGGCAGATAGCGGTACCTAAACAGAGAGATTAGGAATTCCGCAATCAAATGCAGAGGCTTCGAATGAATAAGCTTCCTTGCCGACACACCAATCACAGAAGATCATCCAACGTGACTGGTAGACGGCAGAAGAGGAAGCCCTGATTGATTGCTCAATGCAATCGGACACCTCTTGAGAAAAGCCTGCCTTGGCGTGGCTTCCAGAGATAGCCTCAGCGCGTGAAGGTGGAGGATCTCTGGTCAAGAGTGTGTCGTTCTGGGCCAAGGCTGGCGAAGGAGATTCGGTCTGGTGGGGAGAGCCAAGGGCTCCTCCACCAGAAACGACAAGAGCTCCTGAAACCAAGCTTGCCTCGGCCACAGAGGGGCTCTCAGAAGTAAGGAGCAGTGATGCTCCCAGAACTTCTGTAGAACCCTGCCCACCAGGTTGAAGGGAGGGAATGCATATGCATACGTCCCTTCCTATTCCAGAGAAAGGGCGTCCACAGCCCACGCCTTACGGTCTGGGACCGGGGAGACGAAGGTTAGCAGCTGGTTGTTCAGGGAAGTGGCAAACAGGTCTATAATAGGTCTGTCCCACGCCTGACAATTCCCCTTGAAAATCAAGGGACACAGCTGCCATTCCGTCAACACCGGCTGGTGGCGCCTGGAGAGTGGCCACCAACACACTCAGCCTGCCAGAAAGATGCTTGACCGCTATGGTCAACTGCATGTCCTGGCAGAGAAGATGGATGTGGATGGAGAGGGCACACAGGACATGAGACCTGGTGGCCCCTGTCTCTCCAGATACGCGACAACTGTTGTCGGTAGCCACACTTTGGACTGCAGGATACCCCTAAAGGACTGCAGAGCCAAATGAACAGTGTCATCTCGAGTACACTGATGTGCTCCGAGAGTTATTCGCCAGACCACTCCCCCATCGAGGTAAGCTCACATTCCTGTCATGAACGCGTCCATGAACAGGATCATAGAGGGGATAGGCTTGGTCAGAGGTACCCCGTGGAAAACGTTCTCCTGAATGGTCCACCAGCAAGAGAACTCCCTGACCGACTGGGTAAGCGGGATCCAGGCCTCCTGGATGACGGAACCCAGTCAGACAGGAGGAACATCTGGAGAGGTCCGATGTGAATCCTCCCTAGGGGGACCACATATGCCAAGGAGTTGAGATACCCCAGAAAACTGAGGAACCAATGTACCTGGACAAGTGACCAAGTGATGAAAGTCAGAGCCAGAGCCCTGACCTTCTCAAACTTCTCCAGAGGTGGAAGGGCTAAGCCCCGAACCATGTCAAAATGGTTCCCCAGGAAGAAGAAGTCCTAATATGAAGGAACCTCTGACTTCTCTCTGGAAGGAATGAAGCCGACTCTGAGCAAGAGTTTCAGGACCAGACGAGTGTCCTTCACTAACGATTCCCACACCAAAAGAGGCATGAGGGAGTCGTCGAAATAGATGTGGACGTCTATTCTGCAGGAGTGAAGGAAACACCAGCAGCAACTTGGTGAACACCAAAGGAGCTGTCGTGAGCCCCAAGGGCATCTCTGCCTTGGCAGCATGGTCCCTACTTCCTCCTGGAGCACCCGTGCCCTTTCTGAATCCCCGGGAGGAGGAAAGAAACAAAAACGGCCAGGAGGTGAGGGACGAATCCTGAAGAAGGGGAATACCTAGACCCTCCCTGACCACCGACAAAAGCCCAAGCGTCCTCTGTAATATCCTGCCACTAGGAAAGGAAAGCAGAGAGACGTCCGCCCACAGGGAGTTCCGGATGGGGCAGATCGAGCCCCTGCCAGACCAGAGAATCGTCTGCCCACCCGGAGCCTGAGCCTGCAGGAGAAGGACATGAGCCCGGGAAAGGAGAACCACCGTCCACCCGGCCATACCCTTCGCCTTTCGCGGCCAAGAAGCAGAAATAGTCAGGAACCCTTCTTCTTGCCCCCAGGAGGTTTCTTACCCTTCCTACCCTTCCCCTTGTTGCCGTTGAAGTGAGGTTGGGACTTGGGCTGTGCAGAAAACTGAGCAGCCGAAGACTTCGCCTTCTTCTTAGGAGGCACTGACCCCTGCGAGGCACTGGCCTTCTCAGCCTGAAACCTCTTCACCAGAAGTGCTGAGGCGACCGAGTCCTCCTTCATATCCTTCTGAACCCAAGGAAGAGCTCCCCTGAACAGGGTAGAGCCCTAGAAGGGGGCATTCAACAAGCGGAAACGGTAGGGTTACTGGACTGGGCGGAATTTCAGAACTGAAAACTGCCTAGCCAACACGGCATTGACGAGCAGAGAACCTGCAAGGCTGCCGTGTCCTGTATGTCGGCTGTTCTGTCTCGGATAACCGACACTCAGGCAAATCGGATACCCTGTATAGACAAACTGTCAGGAAGTCTATGTATGACAGAACTTGGATGGAGAGGTGCAACATTCTCTCCATCCTGTGGTGCTCTTTGGGATCGAGCACCACCTGGTCCACTGATTTGCCGGGCCAGGCAGCCAGCTGTCTCAACTCCAGCTGTGCTGGTTGAGAGGCCAGCTGCCCATCATGTGTGGCATAGTCGGAAGCTGAAGCCTCCGACAATTCACCAACACTGAGCTGCAGACCGACAAACCCGAGAGCACGGGTAGAGAAGGAGTCCTTCTCTAAAACCGGAGCCCGGGCCGTGGCCAGAACCGAAGACATGATATTGCCTTCTGGCAGAGACCGATCTGAGCGAACGGAAGCCCGAGGAGCCACCAGGGAACCCAGAAGGATGGTGGATTCAGGCGCCGACGATGCTGAGGCGGTGGGCAAACCTCCGCCCTGAGAATCCGGGAGATGTTGGCCCGGAGGACCCGCATCCCAGAAAGCACATGCTGAGCCTCAGCTTCAGCAGTCTCAGGGCCATCTTCCCCTTGTGAACCCTCTTGGCCCAGGAGAAAGATGAATGACATCGTCTTCCTCTGCCGAGCCCGCACCCTCGATGTCCATCTCCTCCTCAATAGAGACCGAAGTCCCCTTGGGAGGAACAGGGGCCGCCAGAGGAGCCATCTCCGCAGAGGGGAACTCCTCTTTATGGCATTTGGACGCAGCGCGACCAACAGCTGTAGCTGTAGGCTTGGGTCGGAGACCCGAAGCCGACCCCTGGGAACAGGAGACCGACGGGTCCGCGCTGGAGGCGGAAGTCCTTAAGGTCTGGCAAACCTTTATAGGACCGGCCAACAAGGCCCCCGAAGTAGCAGAACATTGGGGGGATTCCGCACTGCTATAACATCTCCTAGAGGAGAGACCAACCCCTATGGGTTCCACGAGTGAAGACCCATGGGGTAAAAACCCAAACCCCTGAGGGAATGGGAACGGTCCAGCGGGCCGGGAGTGACCCCAGAACTGGCCAAGATGGCCTGCCTGAGTCTGGGGCTGGACATCCTGTCCAAAGGACCAGGATGAACCGCCACTCCCACCAGGTGGAAACCCAGACATGTACAGGCTAAGCCCGTAACTGCTGAGTAACTGTTGGTACCCAAAACCATCCGCAGGTTGGCCTGGGCGACCCAGGAATAAGTGCCCGCAGGCACCCCTACTCCCTGAGCCCGGGGGAAAGGGAGACCGGAAACCGGACTCCTGGCCTGAAGCCCCAAACCCTTGGAGGAAAACCCCCTGGGAAACCCTGCACTGGGAAATCTGGATTGGGACGGAAGTCCCAGAGCCAGAAGCCTGTGAGGGTGGGAAAACAGACCCCGCGCTGACACCAGGATTAGTGAACTCAAGTGTCACTAATCCCCGTAGCCACAGACAATCCTGACAAAAAGTCTGTGGCCCCTGAACCTATACCCGAAGGCACAGTTCCGGAGTCAAAGCGGCCCCCACCAACGACGCCACCTGGCGTGCCGAGGTCCCTGAAGGAAT